CATCGAACCATGATAAAAAGATTACAAGGTGAGAATCGTGAGAATGGCGGTACCCGAGATTGTGCCGAGAACTCGATTACTCGATTTCCCAGGTATCGAAATGCTCGAGAATGTGCGAGCAGAAATCGGAAAGCCCTAATTCAAACAGAAATTGAACACCATCCAAACAACTTTAACTTACCAATTTTTAACCCTAGTGAATTTTTTGAATAATTGCGGAATATTATTGGCATAAAAAGACGATGTATAATAACAACCTTCCCAAAATAAGAAAACATTAAGTTTTTTGAAATCGGCATTTTTAAGGGATTCCAATCAAGATGCGGATTTCGTCCGCAAAAGCGCGTATCAACAAAATGCAAAACTGCGTATCAGAAAAATGCAAAACCGCGTATGTGAACTTATAGAAATTATTTTCTAGAGCGTAAAAACACTCATATTTCATAATGGTTCTCTTTTTTTAGGGTTGCCAGATTTTTTATGCGCTAAATCAGTACATTCGACTTTTACATGCTAAAAAAATCAGTACTTTTCAGTACATTTTTATTCAAAGCAAAATTATGAATGTAAGTAACAGAAAATAATTTAAAACGTCTGAGTTCTTGTTTTTAACAATATTTTGGTATATAAATAAAGTAGAGTTCTTAAAAAGTAAAAGTGTTATTCGTTTTAACGTGAGTGTACACATCATCAGAGCCAATAAATTATTTTATATTTGTGACTTTTTGAATAGCAATAATGAGATCATTCCCATTTTCAGTGTTTAAATAGTCAAAGAATTCTGTATATTTCATTTTAAAATTACTTTTAATTTGAAGTTCACTTTAAAAAATTTTAATTAGAGGCCGGTTTTCATCCTTGCGCCATGAAACAAACTTTATTCTTAAGATCCCCTAATACTGTGAAAAGTACCACTTTTTAAGGAGTTCATCTATATTTCCTCATGGCTTAAATAATTTTTCAACTACGCAAAAAATGTGAAAGACTAAGAATTCGCTAAAAAGAGTATCTAACTTTATGTCTTGTATGCAAAACTTTTTTACCAAGTCAGTAAATTGAGAAAAAGGAGTTATAAGTTATAGGCAAAAGCCATTCGAATATTGAAATTTATTGTTATTAAACTGAAAGTTATTTTCGAGACAACTGACAACACTCGACAAAAATTTAAGCCTTCTTTTTAAATAGTTTAAGCACCATCATATTATCGCAACTGGTAGGTAATGACCCGGCGATATGCCCATAAAACGATTGATCTTTTTGTTGTATTAATTTCTTGGGCATATCAAACATTATCTAAAATATGTCAACTATAATTAAATTATTTTCTTCTTATTTTTTGCAATACAGTTTAAGGAATTTCCCACGTTATGTAAGAACCTTAAGAAAATACTAAAGTATGTATTTTGTTTGAATAGAAAATTCAGTACAAATCAGTACAAATTTTGAAAAATCAGGACATTAGCGTACTGATTGAAGAAATGAATAAAATCAGTACAAGAGTTGAAAAATCAGTATTGTACTGATAAATCAGTACGTCTGGCAACCGTATCTTTTTTATAAAGCAATCGCATTTCTGGCTAGTATATTTCAGGACGAATGGATACGGATTGAGCCAAGAGCTTGTGTGAGCAAATCCAATTTTTGGCAGCCAATGTCAGTTACGCGGTTTTCCAGTATGACGATACGCAGTTTTGTACTTTAAACGACTATATGTACAGTGTTGGAAAAAATTATAAAAACATACAGCTTTCATATATTTTTTATTGTCTGAAGAACTCTTTAATTTTAAACACATTCCGATTTCGTATATTTCGTTTACGGTCATTAAAATCTAGACTTCTGTTGCAAGGGCAATAAGCCATAAATAAATTGTGGCCCCTTTTTTAATTTTGGCCTGGAAGATATAATAGAAACAAAGTATTATTTCTAAATAAACTAAGCTTTGAACAAAAAATTCTTACAAAAATATTATTGTTTTAATAGCTTATTGAATCGCCGCATTGCCTGATTACCTCTTCGCATATTCGGTGCCGCGAATTTACGAAGTTTGCACAAACACTTTTCGGAATAGAATACCACGATTTTAGAATGTGGCGCCACAATTCGTCTTTATTGCTGGCTTTAAAAGGCCCGATTCTCTTCTTTAAGTCCGCCCAAAGGTGCGCAATAGGGTTGAGGTCTGGCTATTGTGGCGGCCACTCCAGAGCCTGCACTGTTTCCTTCTTTAACCACTACTTTACCAGTTTTGATGCATGTTTAGGATCATTATCCTGCAGTAAATCCCACCGCAATGGCATTTCCTCTTTAGCATAGGAAAGCCTTATCATCTGTAATATGTTTACATAGTCAAGCTCTCACATTTTGTTCTTAATCCAAAATATTGGACCAACTTCTTCCTTCGGGAAGCAGCCCTATACCATAATGGAACTCCCGCTGTGCTTAACCGTTTTTTTTCGTGTGTTGTGGATCAAAGGACGTTTTACGTACTATTTTCCATCTGATCCAAACATATTACTCTTTGTCTCATCAGACTGCAGCACATTTTTCACCATTTTGACGAAAAAGATGTTTTCTGGCAAAACCAAGTCTGTTGTTTTTGTTTTTAAGGCTCAGCAACGGTACCTTTCTAGAGATTCTGGCTGAAAGTTTGGCTTCTGCCAATCTGTACGTCATGGCTCGGCTTGTTACATCGACATTCAATTCTGTTTTCAGCTTTCTTGAAGACAGAAAAGGGTTAACTTTGTAATGCCGAATTAAACGCCTTTGATCGCTAGCAGTCATTTTACGCTTTGTACGTTGTGTTTCTGGTTTTTTACGCTATGAAGGGCAGGAACACCTTCGTTTTGGAACAGCCCACCATATCTACTATCTTACTCATCGAATTTCCTTGTTTTCTTAAACTTATTATTAAATTCTTCTCCTCTTCCGTGCAGTGTTTAGCTCGGCCCATTTTATTATTTTTTATATTTCAATAACCTATAGTATAACTCTACTTTAGTTAACATTCTTTAAAAACGCAATTAGAAGTGCCAAAAATAATTAATTTACCTTTTACCACACATACGAATGTACATATGTGTATATGATCCGCAGAATTTTCATGATATTTCTACTGTTTGTGAGCACTTGGCTCAAAAATATAATTGAGGCTCTCTCGAATGTACATACATATAATCTCCCACCAAAGCAGTAAATAGCGAGGGCGCATTCTACAATATAAAGAAAACTTTTGGCCCAACACTTTTTAAAAAATGGGTGCCAACCTGTTGTTTCTACATAAATTCGAATATGTCTATACATAAAATGTGTTGAGCACACGTTCCTCAAAAATGCATTAACTCAAAATTCTTCGTGTGTCCGAAAACGCATACACTATTTCTGCTCCCATCTTAACCAAATGCGTACGAGGGTTCTAAATGGTGGTTTTGGCATTAAATTACAACAAACTATTGCTTCAGGGTAAGGGCAAGAAGATAAATAAAAGAACTGTGAACATTTGTGGCACAGTATATCAAAAATAGTATATTTTAAGTTAATACGCTTTTGAAGAACGTGAGCGATACGATCTATCGCTTGCAATTAGCATTGGAATCCGGTCTTGTGATTAAAGTAGCATTCTAATGAAGTTGAAAAGGCATATAAAAGGGTCCCATATTGAAAGGTAAGTTTCGAAAATTGAAGACATTTAACATAATGTGTCGCCGCAGAGGTTTTATTTTGGTTAGCATGCTAATTTTGTTAAATTTTGTTCATACGAAAGAAACGGCTCCTGGCGTAGAAAACTTTGAGAATTATTTTAATGAAATCGACGTCGAAGATGAACAGGCAGAGGACAAAACTCGTAATGCAGTGAATTCGCCTTTACAACGCTGGCCCAGCAAATTACTGCGCTACAAAATCTCGTCTGATTACAGCAAGGACGAAGTGGATAATGTTCATGCAGCACTACGGGTGTTCAATGATACTACCTGCTTAAAGTTTAATGAATATGACGAAATTCGAGATGGAAACATACGGTACATAAACTACAAGAAATCCCCGGATATGTGTGGTACACGCGTTGGGTTTAATCCATTAACACCGACAGGGCCACACGATGTGGTGCTTAATTCATATTGCTTAAGCGAACGCGGCGTAATTCAGCACGAGACATTGCATGTGCTCGGTCTCTATCACGAACAGAGTCGCCCCGATCGTAACAAGTATGTGCAAATCGAATATGCAAATATTCCCCAAAAGTACTGGCCACAGTTTATAGCCTATCCTGAAATATATACCACGACCTACAACGTCAAGTATGACTATGAAAGTCTTATGCACTATTCACAGTTTGCTTTCGCTAAGGATCAGGCCAAACCCTCAATGCGTGCAAGGATTGGTAATACAGTGATAGATCGAAAAATGGGACAAATTCTGGGACCCTCGGAAGGAGATTTGACAAAAATTAAAATTATGTACAAATGCTAATTAACAATATAATCAATGTCTAAGAAACCCGATTAAATTTTTTCTGATGGTAAATTCATGGAAAAAACAATCATACGAAAAAAATAATGTGAGTGTCAAACTGTGGACCATCATTGACAGTTGCTTAAAATTTTCTTCTTTGCATTTTGGTCACCTGGTTTCATCAGTCGACAGTCACCCACAAAACTGCTGTGGTTATCTTTTAGTTTTGCTTTTGAACAAACGTGTCGAATATGATCCATAGCCTGACGTTAATTTTAATAATGATAAATATTAGTTCATTAACCAAACAGTTTAGTTTCTTAGTTCGGCTCGCAGAAAAAAAGTCCGAGAAACCATTACCAAATCTAGTCACATAATTATTGGAAGCAAAGTGATAACAAGTAATTAAAAAAGAAATAGTCAAGCTTTTATTAGTAATTATTAAAAAAATAGACCCCGCAGCACCTAACGGCTACTTTTTTTGTGAAATCATTTTTTCCATAAAAGTAATACTTATTCTTCTTGTTTGGCACTACAACCGTTTGTCGGTTTGGACCAAAACCAAAAAGCTTCGCCAGTTGCCTCTCTCCTTTGCGGATTTGGGCCAGTTGTTCATGCCAACATCCACCTTCTAAATATGAACCATAGCGGACCATAAACATGGGGTTTTCGACACCTGCACCACCTAGCAGATTAATGGCCCTATTATGTATGGCGACTGGTAGCCGATGGGCAACCATATACTCAAATACGCATTACGTATAGCTGCTACTCGCTACTGACTGTTGGCTATTAATGGCCTGATAATGCATACTTGGTATAACTTCGCACAACTTCGCATAAATTTCAAACTGTAATTTTGTATGTACTTTTAATGTATTTTGTGTGTATTCCATTACCCAGTTATTAGCAGAACTTGTAAAAACTTAGCGATCTGTTGAGTTTAGGGCCGGTTGCTCAAAGCCTGGTTGACACTAGTCCCCGGTTAAACATCGTTATCGACGTTACCGACACCATGTTATTTGCATGGAGTCGATAACGATGTTTAACCGCAGATTAGTGTTAACCAGACATTGAGTAACCGGCCCTTAGTCTGGTAGCGGAATTTTCTGTTTACTGCCTATGACGATTTTGTTATTTGCTTCGAAATGTACATGTCAAAAAGAGTAAACCCTTATGTTGTCTGCGCTTTTCTATATACCGAGATTATTCGCTATTCATAGGAAAAAGTGCTTAACTGGTAGCCATGGCTACTAGACCAGCAATTAGACAAAAGCCGCAATACATAATAGAGTCATAATCAGGGTTGCCACTGACGAAAAAAAATATTTACCATCCACTTGAGAAAAATCTACCTAGTCTGGAAAACATCTACCAATAAATTATTTATAGTTATTTTAATAAAAACTATGGTTTTGTTATTTTTTTTTATTTATTTTAATTAAAACTATAGTTTTTTATTTTTTTAGTTATTTCAATAAGCATAAAAATTGTTTTTAAGGAACTTATTATTTAACTAATTATACGGTATTTGAGTCATATTATTGGCATATTCGCAGTTTCCTTCAAAGCCGAAGTGATGAAACTAAAGGCAACACCGAAACTTCATAATTTGAAAAACTTCAACTCGAGTTATTATACACAAATACAGTGACTCAAAAAAGCACTTGGTGATTTTTTTTATTATTCGCAATGTTTTTCAAGTAAAAATTGTTTGTTGCTTTAACTAAACCCATAAAAATTAAGGATTCAAACTATATACAACATTTAGAAAAATTCAAAAAATTTTCGTCCAATTTCGAATTTTTTACTCTGAATTTTTAGAACAATTTAAGATACCGAGTTTTAAAGCAAATAATACTTGAGTATAGCTCACAATGTGGTTCCCGTTGATTTTTTTTTTTAATTTTTTGCCACCAGTCTTTTGTGTTTTCTTATTTAACAATTTCTTTTGATAAAAAATGGCGTTGATTTAATTTTTTTTTGGGAACAATTATAGTGCGTCATTACATATCTGTCATTTTTTTATGCTCCTCGGGATTCCAGTAAAATGAGTTTTGAATGGAGCATGATATGTTCGCCTTATATCGATATACATTTATACGTATGTAAGTATATAAAAAGTATGCAAAGAATCTATACTAAATATAATAAAACTGTAGATTGTTTGTCTGTTTGAACTCACTAATCTCCGGAACTACTGAATGGATTTTTATGGGGCATTAACTGGTATATGGAGAGTGACCTCGGACGTAACCTAGGGTATAAAAAAATTAGATCTGACAAGGGGCGTGGCACCTTCCATAGGCGTGACACTTTTAATCAGCTATAACTTCGAAGCCGTAACTCACAATTTGAAATTTGGTGTGTTGACATATATATGTATGGTAGATGCTTATAGTAAAGTGTACATATACTTTTGTAAAAGGGGCGTGGCATATCCTATAGGAGTGAAATTTTTAACCATCCATAAATTCGGAATCATATATGTCACATGAATTTGTAATTCTCCTCTGAATCGTAAAATATACTTTTGCAAAACATGGGCCGACAGATGACGCCGGAGTCGAGATATTTCGAGAACCAGTCTTTATCGTATGACATGGCTTAACGGGTATTAACTTTATGATAAGAAGTGTTTCTCCAAAATAAATGGACCCAAACCATAGATGGCGCTGAAATCACGATATTTAGATGCCCCTCTACAAATTTATATTTTAGATGACTTAATAAGCACCATTATATTAGTAAGCATACAGAGAAGTGCAAAATTGATTAAGCTATACAGATATCCTAGACACATCAACGGGTCCTGGGTATTTCAAGAAGAAGTGTGCTGAATTAGAAATAACATGGTAGGAGTATAAATGACCCCGTTTGAGCGGGATCCCATCCTGTGGAACAGCAGGATTATAGGAGAAGATTACGCACTCTCGGCCAATCTTTAAATACTTGCAGATATCTCATAGGTGGAAATAAAAACTCATAGCAAGTCTCTGCTCTTCAGTCCTTTCAACCTAAACTAATAATTTTTACATTACAAACCGTTTTTGCATAGCAATACTATTTCAGTATTGGTCAACGCAAAAGTTCTTATAAGGCATTGCGAAGAAAGCCAGGCAATTGCTAGTTTATAATATAAAGATAACTACGAAAGATAAATCGGTAACGAAAAGTTCAACAAAAATCTACCAAAATTAGACAAAAAAATTACCTTTTTACAAACCCAATTTTTTTCTACAAATTGTGGTAAAAATTTACCAAAGTGGCAACCCTGGTCATAATTTATCTTTTATAATGCATTGCCATCTGGTTTTGCGTTGAGTTTGAAGTTTCAAGATGCGAAAAGTTAAACCCTTCTTTTTGTCGGTTGCCGTAATTGCATAACCAAATACCAAATGAAGCTAAATCCTCCTCCAAGTGGTCTTTCTATCGCGCATGCGACCTTTTCTTTTTTCTCTGCTACCGCCATTGGGCTCTGCGTCAGGGCTGAGGCGCTTGTGTCCATTCCATAATGGCTCCCTACAGCTACATAGCGAAGGACAATTTTCAAAAACTAAGAGGTAAAAAATACACAAATGTATGCGTCATCGAATTCGGAACTTTCCACATAAGCCTGCGTTTTCATCGCTGATACAATGAAGTAAGCACAGCGTTAAGCATTGAATTGGTACAGAACTGAATCAAACACCCATTTGAGTGTCTCCTAACATTCTGTGATGAAGGGAAAGACGTGATAAACCAATGCCTTCGCATCCCTTCCAATGCGTTCCTATCCCTTCCAATGCCTTTCTATCCCTTCCAATGCCTTTCTATCCCTTCCAAAGCCTTTGTATCCCTTCCAATGCGCTCCTATCCCTTCCAATGTGTTCCTATCCCTTCCAATGCCTTCGTATCCTTTCCAATGAGTTCCTATCCCCCCAATAACTTGCTATGCCATCCACTGGCTGATACAATGAAGTAAGCACAGCATTAAGCATTGAATTGGTACAGAACTGAATCAAACCCCCATTCTGTGATGAAGGCAAAGATGCGATAAACCAATGCCTTCGCATCCCTTCCAATGCGTTCCTATCCCTTCCAATGCCTTTCTATCCCCTCCAATGCGCTCCTATACCTTCCAATGCCTATCTATACCTTCCACTGCCATCATATCCCTTCCAATGCCTTCGTATCCTTTCTAATGAGTTCCTATCCCCCCAATAACTTTCTATGCCATCCACTGGCTTCGTATCCCTTTCAATGCCTTCGTATCCCTTCCTATGCGTTCCTATCCCTTCCAGTACCTTCCTGTCCCTTCCAATGGCTTCCTATCCCATCCAGTGTCTTCCTATCCCTTCACTGTCTTCCAAACCTTTCCAATGCCTTCCTATCCCCTCTAATACCTTCCTATCCCTTCAAATGCCTTCCTATCCCTTCCAGTACCTTCCTGTCCCTTCCAATGCCATCCTGTCCCGCCCAATGCCTGCCTATCCCTTCCAATGCCTTCCTATTCCTTCCAATCCCTTCGAATGTCTTCGTATCCCTTCCAATGCCTTCCTATCCCCCCCCAATAACTTCCTATGCCATCCAGTGGCTTCGTATCCCTTCCAATGCTTCTAAATCCCTTCCAATAATTTTAATATTACTCCTAAATGTAACGAAGACCGGAAAAACTACAAGCAGGCAAGCAGGTTTTCAAAATGGACAAAGATAATCACACCTCGCTTATTGCGCAGATATACCGCAACTGTTCAGTCTCTTGGTCACAATTATGTACCAGATAGGAATGATAATCCCGGGATCCCGGTCTTTTTTAAGCCCCGAAAATCCCGGTATTATTTGCCTAGAATCCCTGGTGGCAATAATAATAATAGAAACGTTTTATGTTGGCCAGTTTTAAAAACCAGTACGGGTATCAAAATAAAGGGAAGATCTGTAAAGTTATTAAAGCAGATTACATTTTTGGGTGCGTAAGTGACGAGTAGGTATTGAAAATGGCCTTTTATAATTTTATCCTTGAATATCTTTGAAATTCT